CACACACACACACACACACACACACACACACACTAATCATATCTTCTCTATGATATTTTTTGCTGTGAAATATGTTTCTTTTATAATTTATTCCAAATTGCAACATTGTAATATCATTTATCATACTCTTATTTAAAATTGTTTAATTGATGATAATAATTTTAGGCCAGATTTGATCAATTACGAAAGTTTGTCACCGCAAGATGCGATTGGAAATTTAAATAATGCTTTTGATGTAGCAGAGAAAAAACTGGATATTGCACGTTTGTTAGATGCTGAAGATGTTATTGTTGCTCATCCGGATGAAAAATCCATTATCACATATGTTTCGCTTTATTATCATCATTTTGCAAAGCAAAAAACAGAAATGACTGGTGCAAGACGAGTTGCCAAGGTGAGCAACAGTAATTATTTGGTTATATCATTTTGAATTATACTAATAGTTTAATTCAATTTTGTTTCATTTTCAATAATAATTCAGGTATTTCTAAGTTTAATGAGCAACTTCACTTTCACTTCAGATTATATCTTTTAATCAATTATGTATTCCCAAATTTGTTGTCATGATTTCACTGTGAAATTTCTTATAAGAAAATAATTTCAAAAAACGATCATTGTCATATAAAATTCATGAGAGAAATAAACCTAATATTTTATCCTATCATATTTTTTGAAAGAATAATAGTTGAAATGGTTGTTGTACAGTAATATAGTTTTCTCTTCCATTGTTTATAGATTGTTGGCAGCCTAATGTCTTCTGATCAACTTCAAGAAGATTATGAAGCACTATGTTCGGAATTGCTTCTTTGGATACAGCAAACTATCGCGATGCTGAACGATCGAAAATTTCCGAATTCGTTGAAAGGAATTCAGGATGAATTATTAGCATTTAAAAACTATCGTACTGTAGAAAAACCACCAAAGTATACATTTTGCTTTCATAATATTCTTTTGTTTTTCATAAAATTTTCTTCATGATAATGACTTATTGTATTTTTTTGTCTCATATATTTATAGGGAATTGTATTATTTTCTTTTTTGATGTTGAGATGATTTGAAATTCAAATTTTTAGATTTTATATTATAACACTATAAATTGTTTGATTTATTATTTTAATCACAAATATTGCTCCTAGTAGATAAAGAAAAATTTTAGATACAAAGAGAAAGGAGAGTTGGAAGCTTTGTTTTTCACAATACAAACAAAGAGAAAAGCTATGGGAAGGAAACCATATGTTCCACCTGCAGGTATTTTTCAAGCATTACAGTAATCGAAATTCATTCATTATTAAATATGCGAAAAATTCGCATGAATTTGAGAAACATATTTTTAGCAGAAATTTTGATATATTTATTAGCTTCTTAGCTATCTGTTATTTCAGGATTATTTATGCATGATATTGAATCATCTTGGGCACTCTTGGATCATTCTGAAAACGATAGACAACTGGCACTTATGATGGAATTGCGGAGGTTTGTTTTTTTTTTTTACTTTGTAGTAACTTTTGGACTAGCTTTATAGAAGAAATTAAATAGAAGTTGACTTGTTTAGTATTTTTCATCATGCGGAAATTTGATGGTAACTATTAGAAAATTTTAAATTAAAATTAAAGTTGAACTAAGTGAAGAGTTTAAATAATTTACAAAATTTAATCCCATTGTAGCTAATAACCAATGTATTTAGTTAACAGACATAGGAAAGCAAAATTTTCAGGCAGGAAAGATTAGAACTTATGGCGCAGAAATTTGAACGCAAAGCAGGATTACGAGATGCGTGGTTGCGTGAGATGAGTTCCGTCTTGCAAGATTTTGATTTGGCTAGAAATATTGCTCAGGTTGAAGCTTCATTAAAAAAACAACAAGCTATTGCTGCCGATATCCTACCCAGGGTTCGTTATTTTATTTCTGCTCTTATTCTTCTGCAGTTATTTTTGTGACAGTAATCGTAATTGCGTTATATAATATTATTCAAACATTAATACTATGTAAATTGATATAAAAATAGTAAAATTTATGATGAAGGTGAATTTTTTTGTTCTTCATGTTGCTTTATTTTAGGAAAATCGGTTTAAATCGCTATCGTTTATGGCTGCGGAGCTGTCGAAGGAAAATTATCATGACAGTGATAAAATTCGGATACGTGAACGTGAGCTTTTAGATAAATGGTCGCAGCTGTTAGCAGCTTTAGAAGCACGACGTCGTGCGCTTTTATCATTAAGTGATCTGATGGGTTTACTTCGAGATATAGATACATTATCATCGGAGATACGTGTATTAGAGGTGAGATTCATTTGTTATGAATCATTTATTAGTTTTCATGATAGTTATCTGTGAAAATTTCAGTTTAGAAAAATTTTCTTCATTATTAAAATCTGGAATTTAATTAAAATATTTCCAGTAAAATTTCTGACATTAGCTAACAACTAATATTATCTTCACAGCGAATTTCTTGATGGTATTATGATTAATTATTCTATTGCATTCAAATTCCTTCTGTATTTTTAGCCTCAGTTTCGAAGTCGAGATGTTGGAAAACATTTATTAGGAGTGGAAGATTTGCTTGGCAAACAAGAGATTCTCGAAGCGCAACTCAATTCACAGGGAGAATTGTTGAAAAATGTGACATCGCAAGCATTGGACTATATTCGAGGAAAAGGGGAACAATATGATGTGTTGCAAAGGAAGTTAGATGATGTGAGCGGCCTTTATGAAAGGTAAATAATTGCGAAATATCTTAAGGTAAATTGTAATATGGAAGTCTCGATAATATTTTGAGACGGTTTATTTAAGTGTTAAAGCAATATTCTTGATAATATTCTTACATTTACAGTGTTGTACAATTATGTCAACAGCGCAGGATAACATTATATCGTGCTCGTGATTTGTATCGTTTTATCCAAGATGATGAAGAAGAAATGAGTTGGTTACAGGAGAAAGAAGATTTATGTATTTCACTTCTCAAAAATAGGGATCTTTCAGCTACCGCCCAACTAAGGCGTATTTTTAAGGTGATTATTTTAATATTGTCAATTTAAATTTTCATTTTTTTCATAGCTGTTGAATAATTTTTTTTACTTTTGTAAAATTCTTGAAATAAGTTAGTTGATGTTAATTTTTCTTAACTGTAGAATTTGGAAACCGAAATGGAAGGACATTGGCAGAGAGCAAAAGGAGTAATTGCAGCTGGTGAACGACTGGTGGCAACAGGTCAAAATAAAGAGGATATTCAAACAAGAATATATAATTTACATGCAAAATGGGAGCAGCTGAGAAAAGTGGGTCAAATTTTGAAAATTTTTAAGGAATATCATTTTCCGCGATTTGACTACTTTAGACATAATCGAGTGATGTAATTTATGAATTTTTATTAATACAAATTACAGATATACACTGTAAATCTTCGTTGAAAATCTTGAATTCAAGTGAAAGTTTTCCAATGAAAAGCTTTGAAGTACCAGAAGAAAAGAATGAATTACATGTCTGTTGTATTATACATATATATACACTTTTTTTTTTAAATTTTTTAGGTGGTTGAAGCGGTTGGAAGGTGGCTTCGTGAAGCTGAACAGGCTCACCAATATTTCCAGGATGCAAATGAAGCAGAAAGTTGGATCCGTGAGAAAATGCCGCTTGCCAAAAGTAGTGATTATGGGCGTGATGAACAAGCATCAGAAAGTCTATTATCAAGGTGAATTCGGAAATCAAAGTCAATTATATTGTAAATTCAATTATCAAGTTTGATGTATTTTTGTTGCTTTTGTTTTTTGCACTTATCTCACTGTTTTCCGTTTTTACGACTTGTAGTATTGTTCAATTTAATAATACTTAAAATTTTTTAATTGAAGGCATTTACGTTTGGAAGAAGAAATTCAAGCTTATCGAGCTGATATAATAAGACTGGAAGAGATGGCAAGAGAGCTAGCAAATACAGAATTCATTGCGGGTGCTGTTGTGCGTATCGAAGAAGATACGGAAGAACTTATTGTACCTCAAGTGAAAATGTTATACGCTTATTCTGGAAATAATATTGAAGTTAAAAAAGATGAAGTTAGTAATCATTGCTCTTTTTTTTATTTCAACAGTATTTTTTACTTGTCGAAATATTTGTCTGAATAGACAGTGTCAGACGTTTGGATAATTTACTTGCGGAATGATTTGATTCAGTACATTTTACATTAATTTAATAAATGATTAAATAAGCCTTAATTTTTATTTATTTATTCATTTTTGTTTCTTTTTTCTTTTCATTTAGTTCTTTCGCTTTTTTACTGATTGATTTTAAACTAATTTTGAAAATTTTGCAAATTTTTTTGTTTATGCTTCCCAATGATAAAAAGAAATTCACTAAATGATTTTAGTAAATTTTTTTTCCTGCCAGAGGTGTTCTGGATTTAAACTAGATTTCCAGTATTAGATGCACTTTGCATAATCCGTTAATTTGAGAGATTTTGTCTGGAATATTGAACATTGATTCAATGAAGAAAGTCATCAACGAAAAGAGTAAAATCAATTTGAAATTTTGAAGGTATTAGCACTAATCGAAAAATCAAACAACGATTGGTGGCGCATTCTGAAACAAGATGGAATCGAAGGTTATGTACCTGCAAATTATTGTAAAGTTGTGGAAGGTGAAACAGTAACGGTTGCACAAACAATAACCACTCGTAAGACAGAACGTGAATCACAGGGTTCCCGAAATGCCATCATGGAACGTCAAGAAGCCATAAGCGCTGGTTATCGGAATTTGAATAATTTAGCTGAGGTAAATCTGAGTATTCATGAAGTAATAATGTTTGGATATCAGTTCTTTTGGATCTATGTTCCTTTCATTTTTTTTTTTTCATTCTTCTATGTTTCTCATTTTGAATTTAATTTTTTGAAATTCATTCCACAATTTTTTTTTTACTTTTTGGTTTATCTAGATCCTTTCATGAAATTTTATGAATTGTAGGAGCGTCGGCGACTTCTCAATGATGTGATTAAGTTGTACAAATTCTTACGTGAATGTGATCAATTTGAAACTTGGACAAGAGAGACAGAAGCAGCCCTTGCTGAAAGCGCTACTTCAGATAATGTTAAGGCTTCGCGGAAAAAATTTAATGTAAGTTGCAAAAAAATTTTCATATGCATAATATTAGGTCAAGTAAATAATATATAAGTTAAAATTTGAGCTGTTAAGGATTTTTATGATACAAATCGATGTATGCAATTAATAAGAAACGTAGATTATTTAGTATCTTGAATTGTTATTTCGAAAATAGTTCTATAACTCTTCGGTATTCATCTAGCTTAAAACAAACTATCACTACAACGGGATATTTTTAGATGTTATATGAAGGTAATTATATAAAGCATTAGCTTCTTGTTTTTCTTAAATTTCAAAACTAATCTATTTTTTTAGAAACTCGAAAATGAAATCAGCGCGAATGGTGAAATGCAGATAAAACGAATTAATGATGTTGCGGAAGAATTAGTTAATGAAGGTCATAGCCATAGTGATGAAATTCGACGACGTCAGAATGCAGCGAATTTGCTTTGGAATAAAATACGGGATCTTTTGAAGATAAAACAACGTCAACTTGTAAGTTCTATTCTAGGATCAGATGAATTGTTTTTTTTTTTTTGATTTTATAATATTTGATTTACGAATTTTAATAGCATTTCATCAGCAATTTTTGTCAGCCTAAAATATTTCTTAGATTTGTTGTACACTAATAGCATTACTGTCAGTGATGTTTATCAGTTGCTGAAAAAAAATAATATTTGAGCCAAGCATTATTTCTTGCTTCAATATATGTAATATCGTGTAAAAGGCTGAGCTTTTATAGCTGCAGGATATTTCAGAATACTGAATCAAATGAATATCGTTAGAAATTAAGAATACTGAAGGTCAGGAATGCAACTGTAGCGTGTTAGTTTTATCTGTCAGCACTTTATTTATAATTATTTTAGGAAGCGGCCGAAAGAGTTGCAGCATTTAATGAAACATGTGAAGATGCACGATCATGGATGCAAGATAAATTTGATTTACTTGAACATAAAGTTGATATGAATGATCCAAAAGCTGTTCAAGCAATACAAAAACGTTATCAAAATTTGGGAAAGGATCTTAAACCGCTAGAGGAGAAGATTCGTTTCTTGCAGAAGCTTGCAGATGAGGTTTGTTGTGTGGATTTGTTTATTTTTTTTTTGACAAAATATGATCTTGCAATTGTGTAAAAATTTTAGCAAGCATTTGAATTTTTCAGAAAGATCTGGTTAAAAGTCTTGAAAATGAATAAATGAATGTTTCCAGGTAAAAAAAGAACATCCCGAAGAAGCTGCTAGAATTGAGCAGATGATTAAGGAATTAGTTAAAATGCATGATGAGCTGCAGCAAAAATCAGCTGCACGTATTGAAGAAGCCGAACAGAGCCAAGGGCATCAGATGTTCGATGGTGCTGTGAAGTATGTTTTGTCTTTGAATTGTAGAACAGAGTTAATTATTTATCTAAATATTCGAAATATAATTTTGATAAATAATTGAATGTATTCTAATTTTTTGCTGGTATCTAACTGTTGTTTGCTTATTCGATATAAAAGCAGTGCTTTTTAAGATTACAGCATTCATCAGTTAAACTTATTTATAATATGCTTCCCTGTTTAAAGCTGTGTATGTCTTTTTGAACTTTCAAGTCTTCACAAAATATAAAATAATACCTCATTCACACATATATCATTCGAAATATATCTGCAATAAATATTAAGCTATATTAATATAAAAAAATTTTCATCCATAAATTGTTTTTTTCAGAAATTTGCAAACATGGATTGACAAAACAAAATTATCTCTTGTTGATAATACTCGGCCAGTAGATGTTTCATCAGCTGAAGAACTATTGAAGAAGCATTATGAGCTTAACGATGATATAAGTGGCAAGAAATACGAATTCGATTATGTGCGGGATCTTGGACAACGCTTGCTGCAAAAAAATCCTGCACTTAACGATGTTTGTTTGCCGATTTTGAAAACTTAGAAGATGGGCTTAAATAATTTCAAATATCTTATTTTATATTCAGTAATCTACTTTGAGACTAGCCAGAAGGCTATTTGATAAGTTAATAGGAAACTGTTGATAAAATTTTATTATCATTAGTCTTTTATTTCGAAAATATTGGAAAATTTTAAGATATTAAATGGACCTGAAAATTTAGGTTCAATACCAGATTACAGTTACATTTGGTGAAGTAGACTTGGAGAGTGATATCTTTAAATAGTATTTTTCAGGTGAGGGGAAGTTTGAAAAAATTAGACACCGAACAGCAGACGCTCAATGCTTTATGGAAAGAAAAGGAGCGATGGCTGAAAGAACTTTTAAATTTGCAGCTATTAAACACGGAAGCAGAAAGAATTGATGCGGCAACAAAAGGGCATGAAGCATTTTTGGAACTTTCCAACCTTGGGGTATTTTGTTACATTTTTGATGATTTTTAGGGTCAATATTATTGATTTAATTATTGAAATTTTAGAGCTATAGATAGTCCAAATTCTACGATTCCGTTGTGTCTTTGTAAATTTTGGTTATCTTTTTTATAATAATCGAATTTCCTTCTCATTATGAATTTTGTTTAAATCAATTCAGGATTCGGTAGAAACAGCAGAAAACTTATTAAAGCGTCATTCGGATTTCGAAGCAAAACTTCGAGCTCAAGAAGATCGGTTGAAAGTTTTTGCAAAAGGTGCCGAGCAGCTAATCCAAGCAAAACACAGTGAAGCAGATTTCATTAAAAAGGTTTTCTCAGAACACAAGTCGATCATATCGTGCATATCATTTTTATTGGAATTTTATAATTGCAATTTAAATAAGCAACTAATCATTTCCGAAAAGTTTTGGAAACCATCTTTTACTCATATTCTAGTGTATAAATGCAATAATTTGTTATTTGATATAAAAAATCATTAAATAATGCGAATATAATTTGATTTATCCATTGTTACATTTATATTTATATTTATTTATTTATTTATTTGATGACTAGATTTTTTTTTTCATTTTACTTAAAAGCGGAAGTGTAGCGCTTATCTCAAGCAGTGCAAGAATCATTTTAATTTTCAGCGCCGTGATGATGTTTTGGCTCGTCGATCATTAGTTCATCAAGCAGCAGCAAAACGACGTGCACAGCTAGAAGCATCACTTCAGTATCAGAATTTACGCCGAAATATTCAAGAGTTATCTCAATGGATAGCGGAAAAAAGAAAGATTGCAAATGACGATTCTTATCGGGACACACCATCTATTACTATGAAATTACTGAAACATAAAGCATTTGAGGCGGAACTGAAAGCAAATGCTGCACGTTTAGACGAGCTAAATGCGGTAAACTTGAATTTTAAAATTATCGATGACTATGTTAATGTTTCATAGACGATTTTTATAAAAAAAAAACTTAAGTCAATATGGCCAAGTTTAGGAGGAAGAAAATGTTAGCTTGATTAATTTTGATAAAGACCTATGCAACACTGTTAGTGAATATTAAATTAATAAAATAAGTGGATTGGTGATTATTTATTTGCTAATCGTTAACTTACTTTTCTTTTAGGAAGGAAATGCGCTTATAGCAGCGCATCACTATGAATCAAAATCCATTGGGAGATTGTTAGACGGTGTAAATGTGGAATGGTCTGAGCTTTTGCGTGCAGCAAATGTTAAGGGCGAATGCTTGAGACAAGCGGAAGACCAAAAAGGATTGAATAGCGCTCTAGATGATGCGCATTTGAAGTTAGACGAAATACAAGCATCTTTGAATTCGAAAGATTTAGGATCTGATTTACGTGGCGTAAAGGAGCTCATTCATAAACATGTTGTTGTGGAAAATGAAATGGCTGTTTTCGAGAAAAGAGCTCTTGAAATGACGGAAAAAGCAAATGCTATGATACAACAGGGACACTTCGATTCTGCCACTAT